CATCCAGCAGTACCAGTATATCAGTGGGGGGGTCTTTCTCTGGATTAGGTAATCCCAATCAATAGGACTACCCATTTAACCTGAACAGTGTTTGAGCCATTAACCAGAGAAAATAATCCAAGAGGTGGCAAAGCACAAGTTATATGTTATATATAAGTTATGTGGGGGATGGAAAGCACCGAACACCCTGTGTGGTTTGAGCACGGCGTGGTTTTCTGGCTGTGCCGGGGGAAGGAAAGCCATGGCCGAAGGTCATGCAACTTGCAGACACATGAACTAAATAAGAGCCATTGCTCTGTCGAGTAGCTGCCACTCCTGGAAAGACTCCGGGTGTCCGCTCTGCCGGAGAAAGAGCCTGCACAGAAACCTCTGCCTGCTTCTCACTGGGACCACAGAAAATTTTGGTATGGAAAAGCATCTGCTAGGCTGTCCTCCCCCTTGCACCCTCCTGCACAGGGGCACACAGTGGGCCTTAAACCCTGCTATAGCTGGGTGGGCACATGGGGAAAGTGCTGAGTGTACAAGTGTACTCTTCGCTGGGTGGAAAACTGGCTGGATGGACGAGCCCAGAGGGTTGTGGTGAATGGGGTGAAATCCAGTTGGCGGCGGATCACAAGTGGTGTTCCCCAGGGCTCAGTGTTGGGCCCTGTTCTGTTTAATATCTTTATCAATGATTTGGATGAGGGGATTGAGTGCACCCTCAGCAAGTTGCAGATGATACCAAGTTGGGAGGCAGGGTTGATCTGCTTGAGGGTAGGAAGGCTCCAGAGAGATCTGGACAGGCTGGATCGATGGGCTGAGGCCAACTGTATGAGTTTCAACAAGGCCAAGTGCCGCGTCCTGCACTTCAGTCACAGCAACCCCGTGCAGCGCTACAGGCTTGGGGAAGAGTGGCTGGAAAGCTGCCCGGCAGAAAAGGACCTGGGCGTGTGCTGGTTGACAGCCGGCTGAACATGAGCCAGCAGTGTGCCCGGGTGGCCAAGAAGGCCAACGGCATCCTGGCCTGCATCAGAAATAGTGTGGCCAGCAGGAGCAGGGAGGTGATTGTTCCCCTGTACTCGGCACTGGTGAGGCCGCACCTCGAGTCCTGTGTTCAGTTTTGGGCCCCTCACTACAAGAAAGACATTGAGGTGCTGGAGCGTGTCCAGAGAAGGGCAACAAAGCTGGTGAAGGGTCTAGAGAACAAGTCTTATGAGGAGGGACTGAGGGAGCTGGGGCTGTTTAGTCTGGAGAAAAGGAGGCTGAGGGGACACCTTATTGCTCTCTACAACTACCTGAAGGGGGGTTGTAGTGAGGTGGGTGCTGGTCTCTTCTGTCAGGTGGCTGGTGATAGGATGAGACGAAATGGCCTCAAGTTGCGGCAAGGGAGATTTAGGTTGGATATTAGGAAAAATTTCTTTACTGAGAGGGTTGTCAGACATTGGAATAGGCTGCCCAGGGAAGTGGTGGAGTCACCATCCCTGGAGGTATTCAAAAAGCGAGTGGATGGGGTACTTCAGGACATGGTTTAGTGGGAATGGTTGACGGTTGGACTCGGTGATCTTGAAAGTCTTTTCCAACCTAAATGGTTTATGATTCTGAGCCCCGGCCGGAGCCGCCTGGGGGGGGTTCCTGGGGCAGTCAAGCCTTGGCACCACTGGGACAGAGCCTCCCATGCCATCTCAGCCTCCATTTCATTTAGCTTTAGCCTTTGATAAGCAACATGCTTTAAGGTGTATAGGCTACAAAGGACTACACGTAAGGTATATGCTAGCCATACTGCTTCGCGCGCTGCTGGAAGGGGCTAGTTACTGCGGGGCAGGGTGTGTGTGGGGGTGTAACGACTGCTGGAAAATAGCCTGAAACTTGATTGTATCTCAAATCAAGTCTTATTTTGCCATCAGCTGAACTCTTCAAAGGTAAAAATTAAAAAAAAACACCCAAAGAAGGAAGCGAGACCTTGCGCTTGGCGGCATTATTAGTTTCCTGGCCTTGCCGTGGCATCAGGGGAGGGAGGTTTCTGCAGGCACCCAGCCGGCTGTGCCAGCCCATCGAGCTGCAGCCCACAACCCCTGATTGCTCCAAAAGGGTTTGCAAAGTGTTTCCTCGCAAATGCATTCGGGCTTCTGAATAAAAGCACAGATGCTGTTTATGCTGTTCTCTAGCATCTCGGTGCACTATGTTTTTTAAAAATGATTTGAATCAAAGCTCTCATTCTTTAATTAAACTTCATTTAGCTGCCATCTGCCTGGGATCAAAATGGCTTCATGTTTTGCAACTCTTAATGAGGATTGTTATTGGATTTGTAAACACATAAACAAAAAAAAAAAACCAACCCACCAAAGTCTTTGAAAAGTAATAAATGAGAAACGTGGCTCAAGTGTTAAGATCTGCATCTTCACTTGTCTAATTGTAATGGAGCAGATCCCATTCAGCAGATAATCACATTATACACAAAAACTGGGTATAAAAATACCCTGCAACTGTGGGATCAAGATTAGGGAAGCTGTGAGAATTACAGCTGAGGGAAAACAGTAATAAAGCAATATCTGTCATTTTTCTGAAGTGGGAAAGGTCAGTGCTCCTGGGTCACAAGCAAACCCATGCACTGAGGGCAGGAGCTTCCCACCCCAGCCACGGGAAATGAAAAGTGGATGCTGTGGCCCTGAAACTCTCTGAAATTACAGCAGGAATTACTGCTATTCACTCCCCAAAATATATCTGTTACCAGAACCCAGCAGCCTCAAAACCCAACCTGGGGATGCTGGAGGTGGCAGGCAGTCGCAGAGCTACCCGACCGAGCAGACAGGGCAGGGCAGGAGCTGCCCTCCGGTGAGCGGGGTTGGAGGCACGCAGAGCTCCAGTTAATGGATCAAGAAACTTAGGGAAGAAAACCTGAGCCTGGAGCTTGGGCTCAGCCCGTGCCGTAGCGGGACAGCCAGCCTTCCCCTGCTCCATCTTGCTAACCAGGCTCCGAGCCGGGCATGCTGGCGGGGCGAGAGGGAAGAGGCAGAGCGGGGAAACAGCCCTACGCTGCCTCCTTGCTCGGCTTCCACACACATCCCCTTCCCATTTACGGCCTTTACGCTTGCGTTCGGCTTTCTAAACTAAATCATTAGTCCCCAGCATAGCTCCCATGCCCTAATTTAACTCCACTGCCTGCACTCACCCCTGCCTTTCAGCAGCAGTAATTAGGGCCCGTGCAGGGCGCAGTGCTCCAGACCCATGCCCTGCAAGCAGCCTCCCCCCGCCGCCAGTCCGTTTGTGGGACGCCGGGACCGGCAGCAGACCCGGGGCAGCCTCAAACATCTCCACTCATTACCAAACCGCACCGCTGCCTTTGGTGCTGTGGCATCAGACCTTTAATTTTTTAATGGCAAAAAAAAAAAGAAAAGCCAAAATATAATCAGGGTGCCCTCTTAGCAGACACCTACTCGGTGGGGTTTGATCTGCGAATAAGGCCCTTTCAGACATTTGGGAAGAGAAAATCGTATTTTTACCTCTGAATCATGTTTCTTTGTTTCCTAATTGGAGATGCCACAGGTTTGAGCATCAGGCAGAAACATGAAAGACTTCAGATTTTGATTCCAACTGCTCAGATGTCAAACTGTATTTCTAATTGGGGTCACTGATACAGATCTTTGCCATTCTTTCTGCTGCTGCCTTTGTGCTGTCCTCTACATTTGTTTGGGCTTTTATTATCTCATGTGATCATTTGCATCTAACTCCACAGCAACTTCAAGTCCAGAGCCAGGAAATAAAACTTGCAGCTGCCTTGAAACACTTCTACCCACCATCAAAACCCTCCCATGGCCTGAAAAGACAGGGACTTGAGCAGACCAAGCCCACGTAAAACAAAGCAGTGCATTGCACTCAGAAAAGCTGTCACGAGTGACTGACCCTGTGTCCGCTACCGTCCACCCTCCAGCAGACCACAGCCGCCACTTTCGGGGCAGGTTTGCTCCATGAAAAGGCTGGGACCCGTCCTGCAGCCTGGAGGGACGCCCAGCAATGGTCACCCCACAGTGATGCCGCGTGTTGCTGCTTGGGACCACACCAAAGCTATAAGCCCCGGGGCAAGTCGCTTCACTGGTGGTTCCTGCTGGGCTGCATTTACCTACACACAAGCTGGGATGTTTCTTCTGACGCCACCCTCACGCCAGCATTAGCTCCTGCTGCGTCTCGCCCGTGCACAGCTCTCAGCAGACACAAAACACAAGTTAAATATGTGCAGTGGCTAGTAATAGTGGTCAGCGCCATTAGCTTCTGCTGCCAAACTCCAGGAGTGGAATGGAAGTAAAATTGCAGGAATTTCAATAATAGCCCTCAATTTACCAGATTGCTTCTTATATGGAGCGAAGCAGCTCAGGGCACGCAGAGATGCCCAGGAGCATCCCTGGATGCTCTCAGCAATGCCACTCGCAGCTCTTGGTCCTGTTTTATGGAACCTGTGGAGCATCAGCGGGATCAGCCTGTACTTACTGCGGGAGCTTCCCCCCCGTAAGGCATCGAAGCCTCTTAAAATCATAAATAGTGACAAACTTTGCCAAATGAAAATCTTTTCCTGGTTCAGAAGCTGGTTAAACACATACAACCAAAATTGCTTCTGTGCCTTTCCATGTCTGGGGTGGCAGGAGGCCAGACACGAGAGGGCTTGAGGGGGGGATCTTGCTCCTTGGGGAGCCTGAAACCTTCCCACTTAATCTAAACCCGCTTCCGCTCCAGAGCCAACAGGACTCGTGGGTGCAGGTCTCTGATGCTCTTAAGGGCTGGTTCCCTCATCTGTCACCGCTGCCGTTTGGTATTGCTCCTCCTGCAGCTCTGTACGCAAATTTTCACACCTTTGATCTAAATTAAATGAAGCATTAAAACGTGTCAAACCTCTTGGTTTCAAGCACTGGTGACACTAAGGATTTTACTGAGCAGCCAAAGCACGACAAGGTCTGTCCAGGGGTGCCCTCCTGCACTTACTCTTACCTGTAAATGCTGTTTATCAATAATATACGTAATAAAATAAGTACTTTTAAGAGCAAGGCAACACTTTTTATTTTTATTTAAAAAGGCCTTGATGGCAGGAATATAGTGTAAAAATCATTGGAAAAACTAAAAGGCATTGATACATATTGGAATATACACTTTTTACATAAATTACATTTATTTATTTATTCTTTCATTTGAGGTTCTTATTCGGTATTGAGGTCTAATAGTTAATAGGTCCTGGGATCTGGACGTTTAGACCACCATAGTCTAACATGTACATGTTCATGGGCCATTGCTGAAAGAGAGGGAGAGAAAAAGAAGGCAAAAGTCTCTGTTAGGACACAACACAAAACCATGCACACATCAAATCTCTGACATGTTCTGACATGGGCTGTTGCTCCCACTTTCCAAATAAGAGAAAAGAACCAACCCCAAACCAAAACACCACTGGCAAACCTGACAAAAAAAAACATTCTAAGTTTATATTTCTCTTGTGCCCTTTTTTTTTTTTAATTATTTTTTAAAAGCATTTGGTTTTATCCACAGCCGAAGCAAAGCCCTGAGGGAGAGCAGTTGGATGCATCTCCCTGATTTCGTTTCCTATTTTTGCAGTTTCACTGCACGCTGGAGCTCTGCATTGCTCCCAGGACTGAGCTGGAGCAGCGCGCCCGGTGCAGCTCAGACCACGGGGGAACCGCCAGGTCCTGCCGAGAGGTGCCACGGGGCCGAGGCACTGCCGCCAGCGCCTGTGTTTTAGCTCGGTGGGGTCGGGGGATTTGCTTGAGCCTGTCTCATGTGCGGCTCCCACTAATGCTGAGCATCTCCCTGAAGCGCTCGGCAGGATTGATGCAGGAGAGCCCCGATGGGCGGCGGGTGCTTTGCTCCGCTGACCCCCCCCACCCCCGAAACCTGGCAGGAAAAGGCAGCCCCAAAGCTGCGTCCTCTCCTTTGCCAAACCTGCTTGTGCCATTTTATGTCACACTTTATAGTGTTTGTGAGGCGGAGGGAGGTGGTGACGGTTCGAGGAGAGCAGAGAGCAGCATCCTGAAGCAGAAAGATAGGTAGGCAGTAACCCCCCTAATATTTGGAAGGCTTTACCACAAGTGAGATCTGATTTGTTGATGATGTAGACTCCATATTGGAAGAGGAGGAAGAGGAAGATGAGGAAGAGGAAGATACCGAGTTCCCTTCGGAGATCCTCTTCCGCTTCCGTTTGGGAACGCTGCTGTCTTTCTCTGCAGGGAAAGAGGGAAGGCATGAGGTGTCTGAGCCCTGCGAGTAGTCCCTAAATGCAGGGATCCATCCCGCCGGTCCGACCTCGCCTCCTGCTGAGCATCCCCCCATGGTGATCTGCTGTGCCACCACTCGTGACATGGGCTTGGCCTCAACAACCTGGCATGGAACTGCCAGCTTTCCTCAGGCACCGGCAAAGAAAATCCCCCAAATCAGTGAATCCCAAACTCCAGCACTTACAGAGCTTGATATCCCACAGACTTCTGTCCATGCTGGATGCTTTGGGGCTGTGAAGGTGCCAGCTGTGATGACAATATGCCCCATATATACATATATATATGTGTATATATGTATATCTGCATATATAAAGTTTCTCTTGCACATCAGGTTGCGGGCATGCTCTTCCTTGCCAGATCTCCCTTTTCTACCTAGCCATCTATTTTCATAAAACTAATAGGATCCTAATTATCTCTGGGGCTGCTAATTCTGACACATTCGATTAAAACTGGCTGAGATATATTGGGGAGGATGGGACAGAAAGAGAACCACATTCACAGTGATCACAGAAACCTTGTTTCCTTAGATGCGCAGCTGCTAAACAATGGCTCAAATTAAGGGCTTTAACCAGTGAATAAATTTCTCATGGTGAGTAAATTGCTAATGGGAAAGGGATAATCAAATCCTCCAGAATACGCTGAAAGTTTGAGTCCAACAGCCCAGTCTCTCCCCAGCTCACAGAAGTGCAGTCATCTAAGAGGATGGTTTGCTCCTGAACAGATGCTGAGCCTGACTACTTTTTCTGGGTAGGATCTTCTCCTCAGCCTCCCCTGGGGATGCGGAAGGTTCACACACCTCCCCACAACCCCCATCCATTTTGCCTGTATATTCCCTCTGCCACAGGGCAGGGAAAGCCATGGTTATTTCTTAGCCTTCCGCTTACCTGTTTGTTTGGCCTCAGTGCAGATTTCGGCAAATGGCCTGTGTAAGAGACAAGGGGGTGAGAGCAGGCGGACGCCGTGGTTTCTCCCCTGCGCACCTGCCCGTGCTGGGACGCAGCCCACACCCCGACCCCAACCCTGAGCTTGCTCCTCCGACACTGCCCCTGCACGGGGATGGGACATGGAGCCTCCCCACCACTCCCTGGAGGAAAGCAACCCGAAATAACTCAGCTGGGGCTCTGAGCTGTCCCGTTATCTGCCCCTGCACCATGGTCCTTCCCAGCGGCATCACCTCAAACTGTGCAAAAAAGAGGGGATGGACCATCCCTGCTAACGCTTCGCTGTGCCCACCCGTGGCCGAGCATAACCCTGTGGTGCAGGACAGCGGATGCTGGGGATGGAGCGGGTCCTCCACGGGTACGCGGTGGTGTGGCCCCACTCCGGTAGCCCCATGGTGACTTACCCCACTCGCGACTGGAGAAGCAAGGGCAATGCTTAACAAATAGAAACATTCCCCAGTCGCAGAGCTGGGGGAACTTACTGGAGCTGGTTTATAATCACCATCCGGATGCTCTCCCGTGCCTTCAGGATCTTCTCCAGCCGATGGATGTCGTAGGTATTGGGGTTTCTGAAAGGGATATCGTCTGGCAACCCAGTAACCTCCACAGCGTCAGGACTGTCCCTGATGAGTTTATAGGGCACCATGACGGGCCGGTTCAAGCCCAGAGCCTCTCCTGTAATGGCAGAGCAGAGGTCAATGCACCTGCTTTACCCCACAGGGCTCCGGATCCAACCAGCTGAAGGACCAAGAGCCCTGGGAGGACTTTGAGAAGCCACAGCTGCCATGATGCCCAACCTATGCTGCAGCCACATCCCAATCAGCCATTTCATATCTGCCTGCCCAGTTTATTGCCTACTTAGTCTCCATTTAGGATGCTGCCAGGACGCTCAGGTGAGGGCTGTTTTACAGCACCAGCACTTGCACACCCACCTCTCCTCCGTGCAGAGCACACCCATCACCATGCTTGCACCAGCCCACAGCTGGGCCAGCAGCAGCAGCATGGGAGACAGCCCAAGAGAGAGGGTAGATGGGAGAGATCTGCCCATCTCCTCTTGCCTCTGGCTGTCAGCAGGTTTGGGCGTCACTGGGGTGGAGATCACATCCATCGCTCATCATCACATCACATCACATCACATCACATCACATCATATCACATCACATCACATCACATCACTCCTGCACATTTTCTGAACCCCCACAATATCCTATAGTAGTGAAATACCACAGTTTAGTTCCTTGCTGCCTTAAAAGTACTTCCTTCTGTGTGATTTAAATCTGCTGCCCACCTCTCTGGGTACCCCTTTATTTCCTGCACGGTGAGGAGCAGTGAACACCCCTCCCTCCTGTGCTGGTCCTGATTGTAAAAGCCTGCTCTCGCCTCACATGTCTGCAGCCCTCAAAAACCTGAAGGTGTGAGATGCCCCTCAGCCATATTTCTGGCTTTCCTCACAGGGAGCTCGTCCCTGGAGCCTACCTGGCATCTTGTGCTCCATAAACGGTGCCAGGACCATGGGAATGCAGGGATCTGCTGTGGGCTTAGCCCCCACGTGGGCTGAGTGCTGCTGAGCTGGGGTGGATGGGGATGCTCAGAGCATGGGCACCAGCCTCCCCGGGAGCTGCACCCATACACTGGCACCTCCAGTGTGGCAAATCCGCCCCCAAAGCAGCACACAGCCCATGCTGCAAGCAGCACCCCAAAATAAACAGGGTTTGCGGGAAGGGCGAGCAGCCTTGACAATGGGAAACTCGAGAAAGGAGGGGAATGACATTCCCCACTGCTTTGCTATTATTTTGGTATTTTCCTTCTTCAGGCAATTATTTTGAGGAATGAGGCAAGACACCACACTGAAGTGGTGGGGTGCCACCAAGCCGCCGTGGCCCAGGTGCACAGCGCTGGGGAGTCACAGGTTGAGAAATAACAGCTCAGCACTTACACAGGCTGTGCCCCAACGGTGGCGAGGGACAGCCACAAGCAGTGGCAGCCCATACCTGTGGGGCTGGGACAGTGACGCCGCTCAGGGCCGTGCATCCTGCGGCTGGCTCCTACACTCCCCCTGCCCTGCTGCTATTCTTACTGCACCTTTTCCCAGCGATGGGTGAGAGGAGGGGTTTGCGAGGCAGCACAAGGAGCCCGCAAACAGCATTTTCAAATCTTCTTCAATCTCCTGACCTCCTTGTTCACTGCGGCTCCAGCAAGCTTCTCCCCAGCCGTGCCCCACGTCGGGCTGCGGCCGCAGCCTTGCTCCCTGCCTGGCAGGCAGAGCAGGCAGGGGCTGCCTGCCAGCAGGCTGGGGCAGGGCAGGCACGCTCAGCACACACACCGTGGCTCACGCCGGCTCAGGACACGTTAAAAACACATCAAAGGCTGACACCAGACTGAACAAATCCTGCTCTTTGGCTGCGTTTTTCCATCCTCCCTCCCCTCGCCAAGGATGAGCTGTCAACAAGAAGGTCACGGTCCCACCTGCCGGGAGTGAGACACGGGAACGTCCCTGGGGACAGGCTGTAACGTGAAGCAGTGGGACGAAACCTGTGCTGCAGCAGGCTGCCGCGCACTTGGCCTATAAATAGAGGCCTTCAGTCGAATTAATTTCAACTATGGCTGCTGTCAGCAAAAACAAACTCGCTTGGCGATGCGTGCAGACGGGAGACTCACCGTATTTTTCATTGAAAAGCTCTTTCACTTGCTCTCGGAGAATCACCTTCTCCCCGAGCCTGTTGGCATCGTCCTCATCTGCAAAGCAAAAAAGGACAGGGAATAACATACCCTATTTCTTTCTGAGCCCCTGGAAAAGCCATCCCACTGTCACAACGCACGACCGTGTCTCTGTCCCTCTGCCCCAGCGCTGCGTGGGGACACCTCAGAGGCAGCTGCTCCGCGCTTGCACCTCGCGTCGCCTTTTAGAGCCGTGCAAAGTAGCTATAAAATGCTGCCAAATCTGCATTTGCCACGCACTGCCACGGCTGAGAGCATTTTACATCCACTTTGCGGTGCTGTAAATGACTGCAAAATATGCAAAGCAACGGAGACTCAGGCCCTCAGTGCCATGAATGCTCCCACAAGTGATATCAAGGAATGAGATAGCACTTTTATAGCTGGGCTCCGAAGTACAGTATTGTTTTATAATATGCCATATAATCAGCTTGGCTTTACTAGCTTTTTTAATTATCCTCATCATGCCGAACAGTTTCTCCTCCATTCTCTCATTTCAGACGACGTGCCTATGTCAGTAGATTTTTCCCCCAGCTATTCAGCATCCTCAGGGGGCTCCAGGAAAAACAACTGGGGTGAGTACCGGCCCCCTTTGATGCTTTTTCACCCTGCAGGTATAAAGCACCAACTGAATGAACCGTATCGGCCTCTCGCAGGGGACACCCCTCCAGCCCTGAGCCAGCCGGGGTGTGCAGCGCGGGGCCGGCACGGTGAGAGGAGGCATCACCACCATGAGCCTCACCGCACCCAAGGCAGGTATTTTCACCCAGGCTGGCGCACCATGGCATGGAAATCCAGATGGTTATTTAAAACACCAAGGTGAGCACTGCAAACCTCAGCATCAGGGACCCGAGCATCCTCTGCTCTGGGTCTACAGCTATTTAATTTGGTTTTGAGCAATCACATGGTTTTGATTCTGATTTTGAGCAATCACATGATTTTGATTTTGGTTTTAAGCAACCACATGGATTGCAGGTTTTAAACGCAAGCTGAAAACCTGACGTCAGTCCCTGCCTCCCTGCACGGGGCCCCAGAGCCCAGAGCTCAGCGCAGAAACCACATGCCTCGGCCACCCTGCTGCTGAGGGTCCTGGAGGGAAGCTGGCACCCTTAAATCTCTGCACCCTGCTACTGCAGGGTACGGTGCAAAAAAAAGCCTCTTTTCCACCTGGAAAACAATAGTTTTGCCTGGATATAACCAGAAAAAAAAAAAGGGAGATGTTTCTGCAAAGGAACCTCAGGGCCAAGTCGTGCTTCAAATCCAGAAATGGCAACAAGGCAGCTTGAAAGGGATGGAGCAAAAAATAAATAAATAAAATAGAAGAAAATCAAGTAAGTCTTGCCAGGGAGCTCTGATTTTAAAGAACCTTGCCTTGCAGTGCTGCTCCCGAGGCTGCGGCAGGCTGGCAGGGGCAAACCCTGTGGGCTCCCTCTGTGACTTCCTTGTCATTGATGCTCAGTTTCTGGGCTGTATATACACACCCGTATGGATGTGTAGATGGTAGCAGACAAAGAAACACCAAAATTAAGTGTTCTCACTCGTTTAATTTTCTGGACTGAAAAACGCAGCAGCTCTTTCCTTTCCGCTCGTGCCCCGAGCAACCGGAGTGCAAGAAACAAGATCCCAAGGCGGGGGTGTTTCTGCCTTGCAGTGGGCAGGACTCCCAAATTCCCATCCAAGGACACAAAGATATGCCATGAAAAACCTGGAACTGAGCATGCAGAACAGAGAAGCCAGAGAGGAGGCTCCGGCCAGTGGCACCACTTCCCAGGGACCTGCCCCTCCATCCCCAGGCAGCTCTGGGCAAGAAGGATCTCCATCTACCTTTGGCTTTATCCATTTGGGTTTGGGAAATAATCAACTCGGGGAAGCCACTGGCATCCCTGGGATGTGCTGAGTCCTTCCCATAAAGCAGGTTTATGCATGCTGCTGGCTTCAGCTCTATGTTATAATTTTTTTTTTTTTAAATTAAAAAAAGTAGCTAGTTGATTATTTTTTTCCCAATCCTGCTTGCCTGAAGCAAGGACCCCTGCACTCCATAGGCACTTACATAAAAGTGGTCACATTTTTAAAGCATCATTTGCTCTCTTCCAATAGGACTTGTCAGAGCTCGACATTTCTTTTAGAAACACCAAGTCATATTTAATAGTTAGCAAAAATGGGGTTTAGGTGTCTGCTGTTGGACAACAGGATCCAAAACACTGCCTATTCCTCTAGTGACTTTAAAAAACCACAAAAAACCAAATGCAAGGTATCCCACAGATAAATAATGGTTCTGTCTGGGTTTGTGATGCCACGTGCAGAGCCCTGATCTCGGCGGTGAAGCCGTGGCACAGCCAGGCAGGGTACCCGGCAGAGCCTTTCTCCTCCCCATGCCACCGCCAGCATCCCAGGGTGCTGCTCCAGGCGATGCACGTCCTCCACCCGGCCACCACGCTCAGAACAACCATGTCCCGTTACCCAAACAGCTGGTGTGAAGCCCATTTCATCAGGGAAACAGCCACTGCCCAACACATCCCACCAGGAAAGCGGCTCAGGTCCCTTCTTCAGGCAATCCCAGTTGTGTCAAAGAAACACCC